TAATGATGCACCAATCATGTTTCATAATATCTACGTAGTATAAGAATGGAAAACCTCCGAATACGTAACAATAAAATTAGAGCGTATTAACGTTAATACTCTTATTAAAAAAGCCGGTTTTACTTTGTAGCGCAAAGTAAAAAATAATGTTCTGTTACAGAACTAGGTATCATCGGAGCGCTAGTTGATAGTTTATTTTAATACGCGGTTAAGTCGGCTTTATAAAAATCGGCTTGGTTAAGTCGACTAACCGGATTTTACAAGCATCGACTTGTATCACTACTTTTGAATGTCAATCTGCTTGATTTCTATTGAAGACAGCCCATATGCTGTTCGCGTCCATGGAATTGTTTTGACGCAGAATGGTAGAGGCCCCTTATACAATTCTGGATGTCATCGTAACGAAGACCATTATCTTCACACGCTTTCTTTAAATTTTGATAAAACCTTCATCTTGAGATAAACGCATCAGAGCCTTACCTACGGTTCTGTAAAGACGATCGACATATCTTTTGACAAAATCTGCCGTGTAAAGCCCTCTCAATACTCAAAATTCAGATGGTAAAAATGATTACAGAAATAATTACCTGCGCGCGAATAAATTTCAAGGCACCCTTTACGTTACTCATATGCCTCATTTGCAATAATAATTGTACTCTGTTTTCTGCAAAATTTTTAAGCTCATTAAATTTATTCGTTAAGCTCAAAAATTCCTTATCCTTTCCGTTAAACTCAAAAGTTCTTTTTCCTTGCTTTCCATTAAACTCACAAGTTCTTTCTTGTTTTCCGCTAAACTCAAAAGTTCTATATTCTTGCTTTTCATTAAAATCAAAAGATCTTTCTTATTATTTTCTAACAAGTCCGCCTGCAACTTAAGAATTTAGTTAACTATGTTATTTTGAACTTTGGGATTGTCGGAAAGTTTGCTCAGATTTAAAAAAAAACTAGATTTATTCGCATAGTCGACTTCATTGTTGCTCGAATAAACTGAAAATTCTATGAATAATATGTAATTGTTATGAAGACACCCCAGCACAATTAGCTAACTGTAAGTATTCTTCTCCGAGTAAGTCTTGCGAACTTAAGTGCAATAGACAAATTGGATCGGCACAGTAGGTGCTGCGTGCTTTGATATTGCCGCAACAAAGTTGTCACGGCAGATTCTCGATTTTGATTGGCTAAAAGAGCGATCAAAAAATTAGGGAATTACTCGGAATTTTACTAATAAAATCGCAGCCGCTTATTAAGTGAAAAATTGTTCCTGGGTCAATTTTACCATAATGCAGGCTTATTTTTCAAAAATTTCTATTTTTGGAGGTCGGATAAAGCGGTGTGAATTTTGAAAATTTATCTAATTCAATGTTTATTTAATTTAATATTAAGGTTAGAGCTATTTGAAGTTATATTTAAGAGTATTTAGAGGTATAATGACTTCCTCAACATTTTTTATTAGTGCATCAAAGTAGGTTTAGACTGCCGTTTCTTTTTTCGCTTGTTTTGTTTTTTTATCGGTTAATCAAAAATTTACAATTTGACTATCTATTTTTGTAATGAAAAATCAAAAATTAATTCCGGCCGGAAATTAGTAATATTGTAATGCGGGCCGAAAATTTTGCCGTTAGCCAATCAAAATCGAAAATCTGCCGTGACAAGTTTGTTGCGGCAGCTATGGTTAATTCATAATACCCACCCGCGCCATAATACCCTACCCTCTCTTACCCATTATTCAGTTCAAGGTGTATGAGTTCTTGAATGAAACTGAAATTATTTACAATGTTAAACGATAGCTTTCAATACAGTATAATAAATTATACTACGTACAAATATAAATTATATAAATAGAAATGTATATCGATCTTCAACAATCCAACCATTTATGATTATGATATGCGAAGTCATGGGTTATTCTACAAATAAATTAATGTAAAAAAATTTATCGGAAACGGGTAAGTTAGTGTAGTGGTATTGTTCACTGGCCAGTACGCGCCTGTTCAGCGTTCGATACCTAGGATGGGGTGAGCCGAGCCGGACCGACGGGTGTTGTGACGGCCCTCATCCGCACACAGTTCTTTTTCGCACTTTTTTGAATCTTATTTATTATTAGTTACAACTTGGTTTTATTTTTGTTTTAAAAAAAGTATGATGAGCTTATATTGATAATAAATAAATAGCTTCGTAATTTGTTTCGTAATTTTTAAATCTTGTAAAATGATCATCTTAATTGACCAATGAAATTACGAGATCAGATATTAAAACAATGTATTAAGATTTTTCATCTTTTACCGAGGATTTCATCATTTTTTTAGAGTTTCACCCCTCGTGTTTGTCATCTACCAACAGTTTACCTAACAATTAACCATGATACACAATGAGATTTAAAACTTAACCTAGATAGTTACTACAGCACTTTTTTGTTCGGGGAGGAGTTGACATCACGAAAAAAAATGGTTATATACTAATTACGACTTAACCTCTTGTCTTTCTTAGGATTTTATCTTTTAATATATTCTTCCTTCAATAAGATTTTTCACCGGGGGTTTACCACTTCATAGGAGTTTCATACTTTATCGGAAGTTTCTTTCACATTATGGCTTAGTTTTTTAACTTTGCCGTTCTCAAGCACCATAATCAATTTGTCGGAACGGGTCTGTGGGTAAATTTTTATTAATAAAAAAATAGTTTAACGAATCAATTATATTGATTATTCCAATTAATAACGTCAAAAATAAAAATTTTATTAGCGGAAGTTCGTTTAACCGATTAAGGGTATTTCAAATCAACAAGAGATAGAGGCCCAAACGTCCTTTTTTTTTATCATAAAGTTGCGTTTATTGGTCGAAATTTTTTATTGATTTATTAGGAAAAATAATTGTTCAAGTTCTTCACTCTTTTTGCATTATCATTATCGTTATGGATCTTACCAACGTCGACGAAATTATTACCTTATTACTTATGCTAGAATTTTCGTCGCAAATAAAAAAGGCACATTTTTGTCTTCTTTTAGTTTGTAGTAAATTCTGAAAAAGAAGAAACAGAATTTGAAAGGGTCGTTGATTACTTTATCCTTTCGTTAATCCATAGTTTTCATTATTATTGTTATTTTTCGATTTGTAAAAACAATAATCGTTAAATGGTAATAATGATAAATATGGTTGCCCAAGCAGTATCAATTGCAATCAATATTTTAATTTATTGTAATACTTGAGCACCAACATGATCATAAATTAATCACATTGAGGAAGATACGTGAGCATATTTGTAATAAAAATACCCGTGATCTTGATATAGGGTGCTCTCAAGCAACTCCCTCAATGTGATCTGATAGTGATTGAGATGATGCTTAATTATTACAATTGATCGTAATAATGATTTCAATCGTTGTTTGAGCAAACATCCTTGTTTTACTCTATTATCACTATGCCTTCAGCAATTCGTAATAATAATAAAAAAAAAAAGGTAACTATCCAACAAGCAAATGTAACTCCTTCTTTGGCAACGCCTCAACAAACAAATGTAACTTCGGCAATTCAAAGTATCCAAAATTTTCTTTACGAATATTCGTATGCTGTTTACTGCTTTTTTCTCCTTTAATTCGAACAAAACCAACACCGAAAATAATGAGGCATTTGAATATTAAAAATTTTTAAAATAAATAAATATAATTATTTTTTGACGAAAAAAATAGAAAATAACAATTGCTAGCAAGTTTTGCTCTTTGAATTTCCTGGAATTTTTATTAGCGATAAGTGTTTCGAATATAAAAAGCAACGTAATAATTTTTGACGATTTTAATTTCTCTAAAGATCCATGGCGTAAAGCGAAGAGCTTGAACAACCGCATTTTCTACACTATAAATTAGCAATTTTGGCCAATCAGCGTTAACTCTATGAAAAAAAAAAGTGGTTTGCGCCTCCAGACTTTTTAAGTGAAGCGGCAACTCACTTGATCAATTTTTTGGCCCCCGACTATTTAAATTTTATTTCCGATCAATTGATTTAGGCGCTTGAGAACACCCTTACTTTTTACCCAAATCTTTTGGTCATCTGATAAATTACCTAACGCTTCGGAAATTACATCACTGCCTCCGGACTGAAGGTCCGAAAACAACGATGTAGTTTCTGAAGAGTTAGGTAACTTACCAAACGACCAAAAAGATTCCGGGTAATGAGCAGGTGTCCCAGAATTATTAAAATAGCTGTAATAGCTGTAAATTTTGAATTGGAAAAAATTGCCCCAGTCGGGAAATGAAAACCAGGAAAATTTACTTTGCCTCGCCTAATTTATAAATAACTATTTACCTGTGGCTTTACTACACAACTATTCTATACGTGAGTGATGTTATGCAAAAGGTTTTAAAAGAATGTCAAGGTTCATAGTTTCATTTTTATTGAAAAAAAATTTTATAGCATTTTTAATTATTAACTTTGCGAAAAAGTTTAAAGATTTTTTGTAATATTTATAGTGTCTTTACATGTTAAAATACATCTGGCTGAGACATACAGTCAGACCTCTCTAAATAGGACCAAATGCAAAAACTTAGTCTAACTTGCATTTTAGAGAAGTATTGTGTTTAGGAAGATAAAAAATCCATAAGCATTATATTAGCTGGGCCCAAGTGAAAACATGCACTTATGGAATTTTTATAGGGCATTTAGAGGGTTTGACTAGTGCTCGGCAAAATCAAACTTTTTTTTGACACTCAAATACATGTGACAATCTGACTTTTAAATCAATACAGCAATACGGTAATGCGATAACTATAAAATACAGTATTGCTGTATTGATTTAAAAGTCAGCCCGTCACATGTATTTGAGTGTCAAAAAAAAGTTTGATTTTGCCGAGCACTAGGTTTGACTGTAGCTACTTATTCTTATATTGTCTGACTTGCGACATAGTTATTCATACGTTAGATACATACGATTTGAGATATAGTTCCTCAATTTTTTTTTAATATAGTTATCATTCAAATCGACTTCTCAACTCTCAATAGTAAGCCAAATCAGCTTGAGTCAACTTGAGTCAATTTGAATTGACTTAAATCATGAACTTCCCAACCACTAGGAAATGTGTATTGACGTTCGGCCGCTTCCACATCCTATTTCGATATTGTTTATAGCTTCCGCAGTCTTTTTCTTTATATGTCATTATAGCTTCCGCATTCTATTTCGTCCGAATTTCCGATATATACTATTTATACTGTAACACCATGCATAGCAATCCCAAAAAAAGTAACCGATCGAAATCTAGATCATTATGTAAGAAAATCATAGACTACATCCAATCAAAATCAAGAAAAGATGCAACGGCATCGTGATTCATTAGAATTGATATCTATATGGATGGTGATTCCTTGTTCGATTCCTTTAGAAATAAGCGAATTCTTTGATTACCTAAATCTGGCTGTCTTGCAAAATTCTCATTTTCCGTACGAAAGTGTGTGGACTTCTAACGATCTCGAATTACTAAATGGAGAACATTTTGCGCTTTGACAATGATTGATAACGCTGTAGCAATTATAAATAGATTCAACTTTCTAATATGAGCTGTCTTATTCTTAACCACATTTTCAAGCTCTTAAATACGATCAATGAAATATTCTTTCCATATTTGTTTCAATCGATAACTAATTTATATCACTTGCGAAGCATGACTAAAATCCAGATTTTGGTAAATAAAAATGTGAGTAAAAAAAAAAAAAAAGAGAGAATGTAAAAAAAAAGTAAACGAAGGATTGATCGTGATTATTGGACAAAAATATCCATGGCATTGATTATATCCCATTGTAAAGACGTATTGATATGTCTTTACAATGAGATATAACCAGTGACATTAATATTTCACAACATAGATGATTACAAGTAATTTTATCATTAAATTTATTTATAATATAATATTTTGTAGGAGGCACAAATATTTTTAATTCATGAAGGAAAAGCTAAAATTTCGGTTTATTTGTTAATGGATAACAACATCGATGACCTATTCTATGCTGCACTAGAAGTTTCGTGTGTCAAAAAATACGAGCAAGAGGCAAATATACACTTATTTAGTATACTATTATACAAGATACTAAACTGCCTATCCCAATACTATCATGCTGATTTAAAGAATAAAGTTTGTAATGCTGCGGGACGAGAACTTCCAAAATATATGAATGCTACAAAACGAAAACTTGGTATTGTTGATTTTCCGAAATTACATTTTCAGAAACGGTTGTTTCTGAAAGTGAAATTTCAGAAAATAAAGAATTCTAGGTTTTCGTTTTGTGGCGTTCGTATGTCAGAACTAATTGTAAAAATGACAGTTCACTGTTGTGGTGCCAAAATTTCCCAACAACCTAAGTCTATAGAATTAAAAGAAAAATTAAATAAATGGCATTCATGCATAAATAAAGGTCTGTTGTCAAGAATAAGTTCTATTACAGATAGAGATACAGACTTTAACATGGCCTTGCAAATTGTTCCTAAAAACAATACGCATGAGACATTAACGTACCATCAAAAATTTGCTGATTTTATATATAATGTTGGTTATAATTATCAATACGGCATTGGAGTTGAAAAAAATAATTTTAAGGCATTCATTTATTATAAGAAATCTGCTGAGATAGGGCATGTAGATGGTGCATTTAATGTTGGTTGTTTTTATCAAAATGGAATTGGTGTTGAAAAGAACCATCAAAAAGCATTCATTTATTATCAAAAATCTGCGAATATAGGTAGTGTTAATGGTGTATTCAAAGCTGGTCTTTGTTGCGCATTTGGAATTGGTGTGGAAGAAAATATTGAAAAAGCCAAACTTTGGTTTAAAAAAGATGTTCTCCCTGATAATTATCGTTTTATAGACAATGATGATGATGAATTTTTTAAATTTTATTTCAATAAATATTTTCAACATGATTTCTCCGATTCTTCCCAATTACTTAAGGAATCCCGGCTGTATTTTTCAAGTAGTACTCGGCATAAATCCTATGGAAAATGTACACATTGCAAGCAATATAATACTTCAAAAAGCTGGTGCTTTGCATGTGATCCCGTAGATACTATAAGATGGACATCTGGAAACAAGGATATTGATGATTGTATTAAAGAATCTCAAATTAAAACTGTTACTTATGAAAGGGTGATTGAATGGATTCCGTTTAATAGGCTAGATAATATTGAAATAATCGGCAAAGGAGGATTTGGTACTATATTTTCAGCGACCTGGTTAGATGGAGTGCGAAAAATCAAGATCAAATCTGATGGGAGTTATGTACAGTCACGCGAAAAATCAAGCATTGTTGCACTCAAAACTTTGTCTGGTTCTAGGAAAGATCCTCTTGATTTATTAAATGAAGTAAGTTTTTATTCTTTTATTAATTTGAGTATAATTTATTGAGCTAATGCATTTATTTAAATTTACAAGTTTAAAAATCATCTGCGATGTAAATTAATGGCAAGTGGTCTACAAATATATGGATTAACTCAAAGTCCCGAAACAAACGAATACCTAATGGTATTTCAATATGCTGATAATGGAAATCTTTATGATTATTTAGCAAAAAAATTTAGAACACTTAAGTGGAAAGACAAATTACAACTGCTTTTATATATACTTTACGATTTAGAGCAGATTCATCGAGCAGGGTATATCCATGCAGACTTTCATAGTGGTAATATTTTGCAAAGTAATTATTATAGTGAAATAAGATCTTATGTATCAGACCTGGGATTATCCAGAAAGAATGAAGAAAATAATTCAGAAGGTAGTATTTATGGTGTCATGCCCTATATTGCTCCAGAAGTTTTGTCAGGTCAAAAGTTTACACAAGCCGCAGATGTTTATGGATTTGGAGTCATCATGACAGAAATGTCAACTGGGCAAAGACCTTTTGATGAAAAGCAATTTGATGAAAGTCTTGCAATTAATATTATTTGCAATGAATTGCGGCCAGGATTTGCTCCTGAAACTCCTAATTGTTATGTTGAATTGTCAAGACTATGCATGAATTCCGATCCACAAAAACGACCCAAAGCTTTTGATCTTTGGAAAACGCTTAATGAGTGGAATAAATGCTTGGAGAGTTCGAATGATAATGAAATCAAAAAGCAATTCTTAGACGCTGATAAAATCATCAATAAATTGCCTGTTATATCACCAAAACATCCAAATTGTATGTATACCAGTAAAAAGATTAGTACACAGTTAATAAATAGATTAGTCGCAGAAAAAAGTCAAGATCATATGTTAATTATTCAATAGGAATATATGATTAGGTGTATAAAAAAATCTTTTTTTTAAAAAAAAAGCGAAAACACAAGCTAAAGAATTCATTTTATGAATTATGATTAACTCTAGCCTAACCTTAATTTAAACTATAACCTCATCCTAATTATTTATAAATTTGCTTAAATTAGTCAAATAGTTGTTTTTATATATTATAATCTTATAATAATTCTATATTGCCCATATATGCTATAGATCAACCATAAATGTAAAGCACCAAGCAAGTAAATTCTACTTGTAAATTTAAATAAAAAAAGTATATAAGTATACAGTAAACATATTAACTATTCAATATTAGTATTACTTAAACTAGTAATTTATATTTAATTTTCTAAAGTATAGTAAAGATATTTAATAGACAAGTAAGTATATCAAAAGTTATATTTTTAATATATCAAAAATATAACAAATTTAAATTTATTATATAATAAATTTAAATTTGTTACAGTATATAAATTTAAAATATTATATAATTAATTTTAATTTTGTTATATATATTCACAATTGTTATATAATAAATTCAAATTTATTATATACTATATAAGCTAGCTAGCTTAGCTTTTTAAGCCAAGTCAAGCTAGCTTAAACTAATCTTATCTTTATTAATATATAAGCCAATTAGTATATATTAAGTTCTGAATAAAGTTATTAAATTAGTTAAAACAATATTCAAACTTATATTTAATTTTTTTTAATTAGTTTAACAAATTATTAAAATAATTATTTTTGATTTATTGAAGATTTATTCTGTACTATTATATAACAAAAATATAGCAAACTTGTATTAAACCTATTAGATTATATTAGATTATTATTTAAACTAATTGTTTGAATTTACTAAAATATGCTATTTAATATTGTTATCTATTAGATTATTTTTTAACCTATTTGTTTAAGTCTATTAAAATATATTATTTGATATTGCTATTATTGTTGCTATATTCAAAATAGTTAACAAATACCTATAATAGTTGTATAACTATTAGTAATTATTGATTATTATATTTAAAATATATATATATATATTTTTTAATATTAAGATAACCACTTAGACCTTTGGCATTTTATTAGTTCTAATAGGTTTACTAATTAGATAGACTAATGACATATTACAGTAGTATTACAAAAGTATAACTAGCTACACGTAAAACTTTTGGTTGTCTAATTTAAACAGTCTGCTTTAAGGTTTTATACTAGCCACTATATCTATAGTCTAACTAAAAAGCTATCTATTTAAACTCTTTGGCTTCAACCTCTGCACTATATTCTTTCTAATATATCTTTTCGAGATAATTTGCTATAGACTTTAGTCTCCAGTTAGCCTAGTTTTCTAGAAGAGTATTTATTCTTATAGTAAACCTATATATTCTACATAGAGTTCCACAATTTGATTTGATTTAATTTGATTTGATCAAATATTTGAACTCAAATCAAATTCAAATACAAAAATTTCAAATTAAATCAAATTCAAATATGGTTATATTTGATTTGATTTAACAAATATTTGATTTAATTTGAAAAACTATTATTAAAATTTAAATACAAATCAAATTCAAATTCAAGTTTTTAAAATTAAATCAAATTCAAATCAAAGCAAATTTGATTTGATCAAATTCAAATTGGTCTAATATTTGATTTGATTTGAGTTTAAAGAACTCTAATTCTACACATATATTTACCTATATATTTAATAACTCTTTACTAATTAGTACCTGTTGTGCTGCTATTACCAGGTTTGTATCTCAAGCTATCTTTTTAGATATTGCTGTAACACAATCTATATTTCAAGCTACAACCTTTTTAATTAATTTCTTATTATATACTTCTTGCCTTGCAAAGTTCACAATAATCCTAGTATTTATATTCTAACTTCTTTTTTTTCTAGATTCTTTACTGGTTCCTTCTTTACTTCTAGCTAACAAACTGAAAGAGCAGTCTGCCCAGGCTTTAAGTCTTTATAGTCTCTCTTCTCTTAGTATATGCTTCTAAAGCACAAGTTCTTTTTCTCTAGTAGCAAGCTAGCAGTTTAGCTAGTGTATTCTTCTACTTAAGAATCTGATCATTTAGATCTTTGATCTCAGTTTCTAGTTCTTTTTTTTTTTTTTAATGTTAAAGGTGAGACCATGCTCTTATCTTTATTAGACTTAATGAAAACTTTTTACATAATT